TCCCTTCACTGTCTTTCTTCTTGCGGGTGGACTGGCGCAGTGAATTTGCACCTGCAGCGCAACTCACAGCTCTATCCGTGAGAAATTGATATCATATTCGTGTTCAGGGGGTCAAACAACCCCTAGAAACGCCACCTTGAGGAAATCCGAGGTTCTGACTCAACTTCGAAAAAATGGGGTAGAGATGGTCACGCCTGGATGATAGCCAATACTCCGACTAGCATACTGGTGATGACTGGTCTTTGCACTGAAATAACCCTTCAGTCATGTCTTTTCGCAAAGAACAATACCTGGCTCACTTGTTCGTGCCGCCTGCATCATTTTCCTGATTACCGGTAGAAAATTCCATCCCAAGACCAGTCATCCATGGTGGGTGGACCCCAGCCTGCTGCTAATTGTCCATAGAATGGCCCACATTTTCCAAGTTAGGTCGAAAGATTTGGCTATTAGTCCCCAGGGGTAATCCAACCCGCTGAACATAAATGTGATGGTATTTCATTGCAATAACCCTTCTGACATGAGCTACGAGGGCAGCACAAGCACACTTTCAGGCCACAATGTGGCAACAGATATACTCGAAATCCCTGAGATCGGGTAGGCGTGGCCGCATTTTTCAACTTAACCTGAAGGTGTCTATGCTTCTGGTGGAATATTTCCATCTTGACACAACTGTCGTGTCTCTGTCCAACACAGAACAAGATGACAGTTGTCCCAGACTGGAATATTCCACGAGTAACCAGTTCCGTGCCATGTTCAAATGCCACGCCTACTCTGGCTCAGGGATAAGGAGGGTATATGCCTTCAAATGGCATATACTTGACTTATTTCCACTGCCAGACACACAGGCACGCGAATGAATGGAAAGCTGAAAAATGCAAAACATTTTCCGCGAGGAGGATCCGATCCACAAAGTCCCCCTTGCCGTGCCATCCAGAACCCGTCGTGTTATCCACTGCGCCATCCGATCCGTTGGCAGTGGTCGTGAAGGGAGCGCTGACAAAAACATCACTCTTGCGTCGGTGCATGCCAAGTGTGTTACCACATGATACTTACATTTTGACTTTAATCGAATCTATTTTGAGGCCTAATTAGTGACCACCTCATAAACTATGCATGCTCGAAGTTACAAGCAGAACGGAGCCCATTAAGATTGTTAAAACCGCCCATTCTTGTCAAATTCTTTTCACTCAGTTTTTGACCTACCCAGAAACGCATAGCAAAAATGAAACCCATTTTTGTGATCCTTGTATGGACCCCTACAACAAGCAACAAACCATTTCCAAAAAGCGCGCCACGACCTGAAAGACCTCCCTTGTTAGAGGAAGAGAACAACTGCCCGAAGTTTCCCACTGCAAAATTTTTTCAGCAAAGCTGTCAAATCATGAATATTGTGATTTTTTTTTATCAACGTCATTCCAGCTGGTATCGTTGCGCATCGAAGAGGGAAATATTTCGGCTCTCTATCGTGATGCAACAAAAAGGATGTACGTTTTGACCTCCCCAGATTGTCTTTTCTCCATCAGGGCTCAAGATTTCATAGAGAAGAAAGTGAAATTTCAGAGAAATCCTGGAGAGACAGTCGCAAGAGCGTATGGCCTGTGATGCCTGAGATCAAGGTGCAGCAGGCCGTGGCGATAAATGGCAGAACATCCAGCGAGGTGAGCGACATTAAGCGCGCCTGAAAATGAATTTCACTATCTCAGGGGATGCGCGCCTTGGTGGGTGGCAAAGTATCAGCAAACCAAACCTGACTGATGGCTGTAGATAAAGTGAATTGAGTCTCGGTGCGGATGATTCCGGTCATGACGCTTCTTTTGCCGTCCACACCACTGTTCGGGGGCGGGTATGGCTGCGTTCATACTTTGCAGCAGCGACCAGCAACGTTTTGAGCGTCCGTCAGCATCAGTGACTAGGAAAGTATAGATAGAATAGAGTATGAGGGGATAGAAGGGTAGCAGTCTGCTGCTAGAGAGTATGG